CCTCTGAAGACAACCAGGTGTCTACTGATAATTCCCCTTATGGCTGGTGGGCGAAACGTTGCCACAATAAAATGTGGCATTAGTTGCACTTGTGTCCTTTTACCTAACATAGTGGGTAATGGTACTAACATTGTTAAAATAATGTGGCTGGTTGAGCCAGCAGTGTACGCTGAGAACGTTGCTACTGTGAATTTCAGAGTGATGGAAACATGACATATGTACTCTCTACAACGCTACTGTATTATTATTATTATTATTATTATTATTATTATTATTATTATTATTATTATTGTTATTATTATTATTAGATTTAGATTTTGCCACCGAAGTGGGTAGTTTATTGTGCACCTCATATCCATCCCATGGATGGTCGTGCAAGAGCATATGGATACACAATAGGCCTAGGAACTAGACCCCAAAAGAGTTAACAGGAGAACATCTGGGTTTATATCTACAGTTGACTTATCTGTTACAAGCAAATTTGGGAAATTTACTTAATATATCTGGTATCTTATTTTCATTAATATATCTTGACATGTCACATAGGTTATTACACTGTCTATCTCTGTCGCTAAACCCATAGGGATTATACAGCCCTGTTTGTGGGGAGCGGAAATGGAAATTATTCAGGCTTAATTCAGGGAATTGGAGAACAGATCCAATTCCCAAGATCAAGAGCCCCTCACCAGCATCGAGGAACCTCCATGGGAGGAGGGGGGTCAGCTACTGCGACAACAATGACTGTCTAATTTGTGCTCTGACCTCGAGGCTCATCTCCCGCAGTGATGCTGCTGCAGCGTCGACCCTGCAGTAGTCAGCGCCAGAACTCCTTCATAATAACAAGAACAGAGGAGCTTTACAGTAGGCCTACATGCCCATTCTAGGCAGGTTGTACTCGCACTAACCATTCCCAGTCATGTACTTGCCTAACCTAATTTTAAAACTGTCTCTAGCATCAGGATGATTTCTGCTAACCAAAATTCTGAAGAATTTTTTCACATTAGGTTTAATTACGTTTTATATCATTTACGTTATAAGTACCGTGGCCATTTTCTTTTCGCGGGATTAGAACCTAATACTGGTCCATAGGTGACCCAGTGGCTTAGGCCATTCACCTGCGTCAAGGCCTCTCTCTCGGGGGTCACCTTCTTCAGGAAGCTTCAACCAACCTATCAACCAACCTAGGCTCTGACCCCCACCCACCCCTGCTGATTCTTGACTTCCTGCTGACTCTTGAACCCCTACTGACTCTTGAACCCCTACTGACTCTTGAACCCCTACTGACTCTTGAACCCCTACTGACTCTTGAACCCCTACTGACTCTTGAACCCCTACTGACTCTTGAACCCCTACTGAGTCTTGAACCTCTACTGACTCTTGAACCCCTACTGACTCTGAGTCTAGAACCATACTCTTTCTTCGACACCTGCCTACTCCTAAACCCCCTACTTGTTCCTTGGTTTTTACTAACCCCTGCCCACTCCTTGATCTATCTTTCCTCCTTGATCTTGACACACTTCCTGACCTGGCGTTGTTATTTGTGTAACAGGTTTGACCTGTGACCCGACCCGCACTGCTCTCCCAACCTACATTCACCTCTACTCTTAATTATTTCAGCTTCACCTCTCGACCTCGGTTCATTTCTTGATTTCTGGCGCCTCAGCAATTGTTTCCCTGCTCAACTTACCCCTTTAAGAGGTCCTCTTAAAGTTAGTGAAGAGCTTTTGATAAAAGGAACTGGAGCAGCTCCTCTCACATCTAGACACTAATATATTATATATATATATATATATATATATATATATATATATATATATATATATATATATATAATATATATATATATATATATATATATATATTTATTAACACACTGGCCGATTCCACCAAGGCAGGGTGGCCCGAAAAAGAAAAACTTTCACCATCATTCACTCCATCACTGTCTTGCCAGAAGGGTGCTTTACACTACAGTTTTTAAACTGCAACATTAACACCCCTCCTTCAGAGTGCAGGCACTGTACTTCCCATCTACAGGACTCAAGTCCGGCCTGCCGGTTTCCCTGAACCCCTTCATAAATGTTACTTTGCTCACACTCCAACAGCACGTCAAGTATTAAAAACCATTTGTCTCCATTCACTTCTATCAAACACGCTCACGCATGCCTGCTGGAAGTCCAAGCCCCTCGCACACAAAACCTCCTTTACCCCTCCCTCCAATTTCCTAGGCCGACCCCTACCCGCCTTCCTTCCACTACAGACTATACACTCTTGAAGTCATTCTGTTTCGCTCCATTCTCTCTACATGTCCGAACCGCCTCAACAACCCTTCCTCAGCCCTCTGGACAACAGTTTTGGTAATCCCGCACCTCCTCCTAACTTCCAAAACTACGAATTCTCTGCATTATATTCACACCACACATTGCCCTCAGACATGACATCTCCACTGCCTCCAGCCTTCTCCTCGTTGCAACATTCATCACCCATGCTTCACACCCATATAAGAGCGTTGGTAAAACTATACTCTCATACATTCCCCTCTTTGCCTCCAAGGACAAAGTTCTTTGTCTCCACATCAGAGGTGTGGCAGTGTACATCAGAGGTGTGGCAGTGTACATCAGAGGTGTGACAGTGTACATCAAAGGTGTGG